TTTTTTCGCTTACCCGCCCTGCTGTATGCAGCAAGTGAGGCGACCCGGCTGATGGCACCACGCGACGGCCGATGGGGCATGAGTTATTTGTGTTTAGGCAGGAATCCACGCGGATCCCACTAATCGGCACGTCTTCAGGCGTATGCTGTATGTAGATGTATGTATGCAGATGTATGTATGTATGTATTTAGATGTATGCTGTGATTCCGAAACACGCATACAAGACCCGAGCGTGGTTCTGCATCTCAGAACGCCAAGGATGCACTCAGCTCTTTCACATTTCTCCCTCGTGTGTCTGGTGACTCAGAAGCGATGACTCGTGGAATATATGGCGTGGGAGTTGCACTCAGCCCCAGAGCTGAACGCGCTTCGCTGGATTGGATATGAGTGAACAGTCGTCTTTGCGCCGTCCGGTTATTCATTTCAGTCAAGCTCAATGCCCGCCGGCACAAAGAGCGGTGGCTGTCTGCTTATGACCCAGCGGACTGCAGCTCTGGTTCGAAGAAGGATACTTTCTATCGAGAGTTTTCCGGGCTCATTCGTCAAGCAAAATGCACTAGCATTGTGGTCCTTTGAGACGATTTGAATGCTCAAGTAGGTCGTTGGAGCCTTTCGAAATCACATTTAGGCGGTCGGTTCGGAGTCGATGCTCGCCACACAGACAACGGAAATCGACTTCTTCAGTTGTGTGCTGAGCATCCACTGTTTCTGGCAAGTACGAACTTTCAACATGAACGTTTGCATCGTGTAACCTGGCGGCCACCAACTGCAGATCAACCGTGAACCCATTTGGACCACGTAGCCATCAGCCAACGGTGGAGAGCCACAATTCAAGACTGCCGTTCCTTCTGGGGAACACCACTTGATTCCGATCACTCCATGATGCGTTCACGTCTGACAAATCGCTTCCCTTCAGGCCCTCGCAAGTCATCAGGAAGCATGCCAATCCACTGTCATCGAAGAACTACCATAGCCCAACAGTATCGATCTGAGATAGCCCAGCAACTCTTCACAGCAAGCAACTACTGTGGTGGCAGTGAGCATTTGGACGAAGGGTGGCTAAATGTGAATGGAGCTACGTTAGTGGCGTTCAGTGCTGTCTACCCGACCTCTGCAATCCGACCACAAGACCACTGGATGTCGTCGGGATCGCCATTCAATGGTTGATGCCAGGAAAACCATTTTAGCAGACAACGAGTTCGACGGCGCACGCAAATCTTTCAAACATTAAATGGTGAAGAATCTAAGAAAAGACCGATGGCTCTGGTAAACATCGAAAGCTCGGGAGATGGAGAAAACCTTTGCTACGGGAAATAACCGTGCCCTACATCATTTGGTACGACCGACTGGCCCCAGGAAAGCAACGGTTAGTGAGACGATGCTGCAGTGAAGCATCGGTGTTGAACAATAATGTCATGCTGTCGATGATGATGATACAATGCTGCGGTGCGCTCCATACTACTATATGGATCGGAAACCTGGCCGCTGCGCGCCGAGGACCATCGATGTCTTCGGAGCGTTGCCCGAGTCTGGTGGGAACACCGGATCAGCAATTCTGAAATACGTCGAATGGGCGAGATGGCCCAAGTGGTTAGAGCGCGAATTTACTGACCGGAAGGTTCGTGGTTCGAATCCGACCTCCGCCACTCGACTTCTCCTGTCTAGGCTTGGGCAACCTGGCAGTATCCTAGCCCTCGTGCTTCCTTCGGATGGTATGGCAGTTAGGCACCGGAAAGGTGCTACAGCTGAACGCTTTCTTTCTTTTCGAATGGTATTCGGGAGGAATAACTCACCCTCGATTGATGAACTGATCACACTGCACAGGTTGCGCTGGCTTGGCCACGTGCTGCGTATGCCAGTCGACCGACTTCCTCGAAGGGCCCTTTTCGCACAACCACGTGAAGGGTGGAAGAGAGCCAGAGGCGGTCA